TACCCCCCCCCCCCCCCCCCCAACAACCCATCATGGCTCACCAACAACCCTCATCTAGCTGTCCGCGGGGAGATCACGACCTCACCTGTCCGACCTCCAGGAGACGGAGGAAAGTGTCTGTGTCGTGGTTCTCCACGAGTCTCCCTGTCTTCTGTTCCCTCCTGTGGGCGCTAGCAGTGGTGATCCCTGCAGTGGCGGCGTCGAGCGCGTGCAGCTACAACTCTGCTCACACTCTGGCCAACTGCAGCGCGCGACGGCTCAGCTTCGTGCCCTGGGGCCTCCACAAGAACATCCTGACCCTTGACCTCAGCACCAACTTTCTGCCCGTGCTGGCCAACCAAAGCTTCATCTCCTACCCGTTCATCGGCCAGCTCATGCTGCGCAACAACTCCATCCAGCAGATCGAGGACCGCGCCTTCCAGCGTCTCTCCAACCTGCGCGTGTTGGATCTCAGCAACAACCTGTTGGCCGGCGTGCCCGCCACGCCACTGCGGACTGTGTCCACGTCACTGGTACAGCTGGTGCTGTCGGGCAACAAGATCTACACCGTGCCCAGCGGCGCCTTCTCGCAGCTGGTCAACCTCAAACACCTGGACCTCAGCGGCAACTCCATCTTCAACATCGACCACGGCGCCTTCGCCAACCTGCGCGCCATGGAGGTCTTCAAGATCCACCGCAACGCGCTCAAGTCGCTGCCGCACGACGCGTTCGACGCCTTCCCGGCGGAGCGTGTCTCTCAGGTGCAGCTCTACGACAACCGCTGGTTCTGCGACTGCCGCATGCGCTGGCTCCGGCGGTGGATCAACGCCACGGACGCCGGAGTCTGGGACACGTCGGGCTACCCTGTCCGCTGTGACGGGCCCGCCATCGTGCGGGAGAAGCTCTTCGCCACGCTCCCGATGGACGAGCTCGCCTGCGAGGTGCAGATGAAGACGAGCAGCTCGACGCGCGAGCTTGCGGAGGGCGCTAACGTGACGCTGGTGTGCAAGTACTCGTCAGTGCCCGAGGCGGAGGCACGGTGGTTGCTCAACGCGGAGATCATAGACCCGGCCAGCCAGCCGCTCAAGTACAGCATCGACTCGCAGGCCGTCGAGGGATACAGCGGCGAGAAGACGCAGATCTCAGAGCTCAAGATCAGGAACTTCCGCTACGAGGATATCGCAAGGTACGAGTTTGTCTCAATTTAAGCTAAATGGTCGCTTTTAAGCTCAAGGGGGCTATCCCCAAAAATGCTGTTTTGAGAAAAGCGGGTGGTTGGCGGGTGCTCTGGTGTGGTTTGCTCCTTCTTTCCTGTCAAACATCTGTCGTCCTTATCTCTCCTCCTTTTTTGTGTTTGTCCCCCTTTTTTTTTGCGTCCTTTCTTCTGCACTAATATGACCTTATATATTGTGTTGCAAGTACCGTAAAACTCTTACTGAACCAAAACCTCTTTGGCACTTTTGTGACCTTACTTATTCAATTAACTTATTGTGCTTCAAGTGCCGTAAAAATGTTACTAAAACTAAAACCAACCCCCCCCCCTCCTAAAATGCGTCCCCAGATACGAGTGCTTTGTCCAAAATATCCGCGGCGTGGGCAGCACGCAGTACCGGCTGACGCTAGAGGGCGTGGACTTTGGCGTGGTCACCCCCGCCCCTTCCAACGGTGAGCATCACGACAAGGCCGGCGTGGACACTCGCAGCGTGGTCATTGCCGTGGCCGTGGTGTCCGGCATCGTCCTGCTCATCGTCATCGGCGTGCTCATCTTCTGTAGCGTCAACCGCATGCAGAGGAAGAAGCAGAAGAAGCAGGACGCCATTGTGGAGAATGTCAAACAGCACTTCATCAACAACAGGTGATGATGATGATGATGATGATGATGATGATAATGATATTTTTTGGGTTTCCGTAAGGAGCCTGGCGGACTGCACGAAGAAATCTTCGAGCGAGAGCGAGGCTCTTTTTCGGCTTCATTGTCAAAATGCTTAGCGGCAACTTGATTCATCCAAATAACTCCATTCTTATTGCCATTGTTTGATAATGATGATGATGATGAGCAGGAGGAGGAGGAGCAGGAAGAAG